ATATATATATATATATATACAATATATATGTATGTATACTTATAAACGTGTGCATATACACATATGCATGTATGTGTGTTTATCTACATATATATAAATGATTTTATGCAACAAAGAAAAATATTCATAGATTAATCCTAGGATGCTAAACGTATGAATCTATTCTTTATGGAGAAGTAAGACTGTGTAGTTTGAAGCATTCATGCAATTCTTTAATTATTGTTGCAGACGGTGAATGCTTGAGAAAGGCGTATTGTCCAGAAAATGAGGTAACGGTTCTCCTGAGACCGGAAAGTCGAACGAAACCGCCATTGCTTTGTTTGAATAATAAGAGGTTGCTTTTACTTTTTAAGAAAGCTGCTTCACTTTAAATTAGCTCATTGTATACTGAATAGAAAACGTTATACCTCCATATAATAGTGTAAGGCCTTCGTGGAAGAACTTTATTTTACCTGAAGCTCTATTGTTTTGGTTGGTATAAAAACAAAATTCAGCAATAGTTTTTTCAGATTATTCGATAGTTCAAAATTGGTTAGAGGATTAAATATCGCTATTTTGAACAGTAAGTTTTCAAGCTCTATTTAACTCATCCTCATGTCTTTTTTAGCTCGTTGTACGTCCACGGACTGTCGTCTAATGGGAAATGATAAATTGATGAGATAATTAGGTCTCGTTTTTGCATTTCTTTACAGTGTATTGTATTTTCTAGAGTGCTGAAATCTTTTCCAACTGGCTGCCAATGATGACTACGGTAATTAGTAGCAGCATTTTACTTGTTTATTTGTATAATGGGCAAAATCGCGCTGTGTACTGTTGCTGCTGATTTTTCCTGAATTCAAATAGATACGTGATTCAGAATTGAAAAAAGCTTAGCTGTTTTATTTTCGGTTCAGCAAATGAATTTGAAATCTACATAAATTTCATTATCTGCACTGTGTGTCTTTATGAGTAAAAAAGTTTTTTTTGGAAAAAAATTCTTATATTGTAGGTGACAAAAACGTGGTCGGTGTACATTATTTAAGCGTTCAAGATAGTGATTTTTCTGTTATAAAGCTATTGGCACAAGTACATAGTCATGAAATTATTGTAGGAACTTCATATGGTGATATTTCATCAAAGTATGTTTCTTTTTTATCATTTCACTTTTCTAAATGCAGTTAGTAATTCAGTTTTTAGCTCTCTGATCCAAGATGTTTCCCAACTGATTCTTTGATTGTGTTAATGTAGTTGGAAATCTCTCAGTGATGACCCCAATTATAGCTGTACATCGGTCTGATGAACAAATCGTACGATGCCAGCTGTAAAGTTATATTTTTCATTGATCTGTTCCTTATCATTTATCAGATCACTTCGTAGGCTAGCTAACACTCAGATGACCATTCCCTACAAGATGAAATGTGTTCGGGTTTTTGCGGAAAAATCGAGTATTTTATACTTCTCAAATTACGGAAGTTGGCACGAGCATATTCGTTTGTTTTTTATCTTTTCCTGGAGAATAATAACTGTAAATGAGCAATGCAGGATATCAGCTGAAACACGGCAGTTGTTGCGCTTATTCGGTTTATCACTTGTACAGTACAAAGCAGAGAGCAGCATACTTTTTGTGGGACAGTTAGGCCTATCGGTTGCAGCAGCTTTTGAAAAGGTTGTTGGAATCTTCGCTGTTATTCTTTATCGAACATGAATTTTTTTATTGGTTATTTGAGCTTAGTGTTTTTTCTATCAGTAATTCTGGATAAAACTTCACCGAACTTTCAACTCTTCCTTAATTGTTTCTTTTGTTTTTTTTAAAGGTTGTTTCACTGGAAATAGTAGAACCGAAATATTATGTCAGATGTTTGAAGGCACCGAGTATGTTACACTTCTCGTTTTCATATCAGTTATCTTGAAGGCTCTTTACGTAACAATTCTGTTGGGTTACTAAAATTTTCCAGATTTGATCGTCTGCATTTAGCACCAGTGACCATTTAATGAAAATTGCTGTATAATTTGATTGGTGTATAATTTCTTTCATGGCTATACATTCGCTGTTATTTCCGTATTTATAGGGTAAAATTTACATACAGCGACAAGGTGGAATCGTACTCACTGCATTATGTGGATTTGTTCTTGCAGGGGATTTTTAGAGTTTATATTCCTATTAGTTTTTTCTTTTTTAATTATAAAAATTTGTTTATAGTGGGTGAATTGTCAAATGTTACGATACGAGTACCTGAAGCACACCATATTGATGAGCATATTGTTGCTCAACTATCAGTTGTAAAAGGACAGAAAATGAATGTGAAATTAGGTGCAGAATTACCGAATTGTGGTCACCCAAAGAACTGTCCGGAAGGTCCCATCTTTTCTTCCTCGTTTCCTTCTGTTAAAAGTTTGCTTCTGTTACACAACGGTCACACGAGTATATTTCGATGAATGTAGGGTGCGACCATTTTAAGTCATGATGGCGACTGATTTCAGCTTGAAGTGACTAAAGAATTTGACAATAAAACGATTTTCAGATGAAATTCCGATGCTTTTTTATTCAGGAAAGGACAAAGATGATGCACCTCAGTTGTGTGTTAATGGAAGATTGTAAGTGCTATCTAGTCATTTACATATAAAGGAAAAGCAAAGTTATTTACTTTTTTATCATTCAACTTTCATGCTTTAAATTACAGTATACTTACGTTATTTACAGTATACTTGCGTTAAATTACGTTATTCAATCTCTTCTCATTTTAGTACATATTATTACTTAATTGTCCTAGTATTGTTCACTTGTTAGCAATACCACTAAAATTTTGTATGAACCCAATTAATATTTGATCATTTAATGAGTTCCATGATGCCGATCTTATTTTTCTTTTTTTTAGTCTACCCATCTGATGTGTGAAGTAATTATTGCAGAATAATGGACCGAGATTTAAATTCTGCTGGTCGTGGACTGAATTTGGTTGTATTAGATTCTAAAACTCACCAAGTAATGCGTACTGGGCACTATGATACTTACCTTGAAGGTGAATAAGTTTTGTTGTGGAATATTTTCCGTATTGAGACCCAAACTTTTACTTTGTCGGCTTTGTATTTTTAGCGAAAGCAACTTAGTAATACTGTAACATTTTTAATGACTTTTTGTGACACAAGTTAATCCTATTTTGAATCATTTATAAAACATCATTCACACTATTATTGATTTAATCTTTTATAGATAGCTCGGCACTAGTTTTATTTTTGGAGCAACTGTCACCCGGAGAAATTGTAGCTGTAGTCAGTTTTGATGAGGCATCGAATAGGTTTGTTATTTGTCTGTATTTTGTCAAGAGTTTTTAGGTCATCATTAAAAAAAGAAAAAACACTATGTCAGTTTTCTTTCCAGCTTGTCAGACATGGCAAAACATATTTTCTACGAGTTAGGCTCAAGCCTCATATATCGATTGAAATTCCGTGCTTCATGGTATTTCATTGGCCAGAAAGGAATAGATGGTTACACACCATTCGAGGATATGAATTTACCATCTGGCAACGACTGGGCTAAACCGATTAGACAAACCATTTGTGTACCCTCAGTGTGTAGGTTCAATCAACTTCACGGTATTATAAAGTATGACATTGGTCCATTTTGGAGTTTCAAGAAGAATTTTTCTAGTGGATGGACTCAAAACAGTAAAAAATCGTTTGCCAAAGGCACAAAACATGCTCCGGAGACATTTTTGTTCCCGGTATGATGGTTATGAAGACTTTTGTGACGGTTCGTTTACTTTATATCACTTCCTTTTTCACTTTATATAATATGTAATACTTTTGTATACTTTTTCCAACGGTTGTACTTTTGCTTTTATTCTATTTATATTTGCATTAAACATTTTTATTTCATCTTCCGAAATAACGTATTTGCGCATCTGTAACACCTTATATTTTTGACTTTCTCTTCTGATGATAAATTATCTTCTGCGGTAACTATCATTGCTGCATTTATGTGCATTGCTTACAGCAGTGTAGAGCTTGTTTTAAATTGTTTTACTTCACGACAAAGGTGCTTAAATTGATTCTTCTGATTTGATTGAAGAATGAAATTAATGGGACATTTGTGCCTTCAGAAAGCCGTATCGATGTTCCATTAGTACCACGCAGTGGTCAAATTCATTTGTCGTCCACCGATCCCATTTATTCGATCCCAATATTACTTGCTGGAGGTGTGTTTTTTCTGTGATTCATATTTTCGGTATTTTCCAAATTCCTTTATGTATTACAGGAGTGACTAAGTATGTGTGATAGGTTGTAATCCGGGAAATGTAAGGTAAGCTGAAAAATGTTCTGGTACTTCTAATCTTGCTTATCGAGTTTTTTATCTTGAGAAAAATCTGAATTAAAGTTACATTATTGCAGGTTTGAATATGAATAATATACGTCTATGCTTGGAAAGCATTTACGATCAAGACGGTATTAATCCGCAAAACGTTGTTGTTGCTTTTGATTCTATTTATGGTGAAATATCGGATCTGAGTGCACTATTTCATGTTAGAGCTTTGCCAATCAACAACTCTGCTTCTTACAACGGTATTATAAACATAGTCTTTTTTGTATTTTTCTAGAAATTTTTGATTGAAATATAGACTAATATTTGTAGATTTCGTGCTAAAAGGCATTGATCATATAATGACGCTGTTCCCATATGCACCATGTCTAATTGTTATTGAAGAAGACATGATTTTGTTGCCTGGTTTTTGTATTTCCTTGCGCAACTATTGCCGTACTTCATGAAAGATGACACTGCAAGCTTTATTCTTACGCTTAATGAGAACAGTAAGTTTTCGTCTTTCTAAATTTTTCTACTTTGTTCCTACGTGGCAATTAAGTAGTGCAGATGATTTAATTATTCAGATTCTTTTTTGTTGATATTTTGAGCAGCTAAGCTATCGCAAACGTTAGTTTGATTATTAACCTTTTGAAAGACTAGTATACGGCATTGTACTTACTGCACATGAAGACTAGTTGGTTAAAACTATCATACTGTTCTTGTAGTTTTGCTTGGGTACCTTACATGTTGTTATAAGTGTCGTAGGGTAGCGGATGTACTCTTAATTTTAGCACATTACGAATTTATTTTGTTTTTTTCTTTTTTGTGAAACGTTGGTTTAATTTAGTCGATGATAAAATAGTGCTGGTCATTAGATGTTATTGTTCACTTTTTGACGTAAAAAAATATCATGACCATTACTATTTTAAGTTGTTAGAAGTCGTGATATGGATCTTTCGTTCGTATATCGTATCGAAAGTGGTGCTGCAGCTGGTGCTTATATGGTTAAAAAGTCATTTCACGATAAATTTCTAAAAAATCGGCAGGTGAGTCTGTAGATCAAATACGAGGAAGAGTGATAAGAATATGGCTACATACTGTTTATGTATCTGCCAGTCGTATAAGTAGAAGGAATAATTTGTGGTTATGATGAAGGATAAAAGAAGCTCGAAAGTATCAAGTCACCAAGTAACTTTTTGTTCAAGTAGTTTGAAACCACTGACATGCGCAACTTGTTGCAATGAAAAGGCGCTAACACCTTGTGGAAACTTTTATAATACCTGAATGTTGCGATGATATTTTATCCACAGTTTTTTTTGAAGTGTTGTGAAAGAACGAAATTTGGTTGGTTGTTTTCTGCTGTTGCATATATAGCCGCTGTATCTCGTGTTGAACATATCAAAACATTTGATTTGATTGCGTTAACAGAAGACGGTGTCTCATCAGTGGAATCACCCGGAAATAGTAGTAGTAATCTGTTGTTAGTGTTAAAACAATTGCTATCGCTTTCTTATATGTTTCTCTCTCCTTGCCAGTGTTTTGCTGATGCCTTATTGGTTTTTTTTACACTGAAATCCATATCATATTGGTTGAAAAAAATCATTTTTGTTAATTTATATTTTCATATTTTTATTTTGATAAAATCTTTGTATTTGTTCTGCTTCAGGAATGGCGATGAAAAAATCCAAAATGCAGATCGATTAAGTGAAGAGACTTATGACGCAGAATTGGGAAAAATCATTGATAATGGCTGGAAATTTTATGTGAAGGGTTATGTTAGTTGTCACGATGATATGTTCAGTGCACGTGGTGGGGTAGATTCCAGTACTGCTACTGATCCGTAAGTATTCCTTTCATTATTGCTGAAATCAGTTCTGTCCAAATTTGACGAAAAACAAATTGTATCAAATTAATTTGTAAACAGAATAAAAAATGTTCGAATAGTGTTTAATAAAAACTAGAAGATACAAGTATTTGGATCATGGGATTGTTAATCATACAATGTAACAGGACTATGCTTTAGACATAGTTGCCTATGTAAAAAAAAAAAGAACCTCTAACCTCAACATCTCATTGCGCCGCAAATAATATTTGTTGGAATTTCAAACTGAAAAAACCACCGATAATTTAATCGCTTGTTTAATTAGATTGAATACTCTCCTGAAAAGGGTTTCTGATGCCAGTTGTAAAACTTATTTAATTCATCTATTACGCATTCGTATCTTCTCAGTTGAAATTCTTAGAAATATGTTATAAAACTGGCTGTTTTTGAGGAATTGCAACGCATAACTTCTCAAAACTTTAATTTGTAATTTGAATTCTCTCGAAAGAATGAAGATAAATTACGAATTTTCAGTGCCGTCATTATTGTATATGATGAAAGTACAGATGCATTGTCACAATTAGCTCAATGTTTTCATTTGCATATTATGAAGAATTATCCATTAGGTTCATATAAAGGGACCATACGGTAAGTGTAATCTACTGCTCTTTCTTTTTTTTCATGCTCTTCAATTTGTTAATAATGAATTTTTATTAAGTTTAGAGGTCAGATCTAGAAGCTTCACTAAAAATTTGAAGTTATTGCAGAATCTCAAATACACATACATCGTACGTGCTGGTTGCAAGTAGTAGCCCCTTTCTTGAAACCAAATCACAAAATCTCAATTCGACATCTCAGTCTTTATAATAAAATTATTCAAATAGCCGCTCAATATGTTTGACAGCATGTTTCACGCTGTTGTTTCCGTTGTGGAGTCATTTGTGATAAATTTGCTTCGAATGTTTGCGGTTCTTTTCATGCGTTATATCTAATATATCGATATGAATATATCAGATACAATGCATGAAAATTCCAGCCATACCTTTTTAATATTTTCATATTGTTCACTGAAGCTATCTTCATACAGTTTCGTATGTTTGCACTTAGTTTTTACTTATTTTTATAAAAAGAAAAGAAAGCAACATAATTCTTCCGTTCATCCAATTTTAAAAATATGAATTAAGTTCGAAATTTGTTGAAAATCTAAGATTTGAATTGAGAAAATTATCTGTTTGGGATTCGAGTTTCTCCTTTGTTCGTTTCTTTTGTTACAGTCTAGGAAAAGAGGATTACTTTCAGTACTGTAAACATTTCAAAATTCGTTTGAAACTTTGGACGCTATTCCTACCAGCGGTAGAGTAACTCTTATTATTACGTTTTAATCTATCAGTCACAGCCTAATACTTATCATGGATTAAAGTACATGGCTTAACGGTTAACATAGATACAACCTTTTTGTGGGCTATTAATGCTTGGAAGTATTCGTTGTTCATTCGCACCACTAACTGGATATTGAATTCTACAGCGACCATGTTTTTTATGATGATTCATTTATTTAGTTCTGGAAAGCTCAAGCTGAATTTATTGTGGCTGCAGCATCTGTAATTTTCATGGTAGAGTTAATTTATTGTTCAACTGCTTTCTCTAGCTTAATCTTGCATTGCTTTCTGTTTATGTAAGTAATTTGATATTTAACCAAAATATGCAAATATTAATTTATAACGAGGAAGTATTGATATCGGTAACTATAAGAAATATCGTTTTGATTGGAAAGTTGACTGTTGTGCTAAGGAAATTGTTTAATGGAATACTAGGAATGTATGTGCCAAACAAATGAAGTTTGTACGATTGTTATACTTGTACCTATGGGAAGAATAGTTTTCCTAATATCAATATATTTGTTAGCAATATTTTTATCTTATCTGTATAGCAGTACTTATTGCCACTTATGAACTTTAACTCGGATGAATTCATTCTCTTTCAACTCTAACGGTGATATGGTGAAGATAAAAGGTTTGGTGAAATCATAACATATCATTGTTGTCTATTTGAAGGCGTTTTTTTTTTTTCAACGTTCAATATATGTTATAATGATCTTCAGTTTTGTTTCGAAAGTTTAATTCAACAATTAAATTTTTTTAGAATGGTTAGGATAGGGATGGGATAGCTTTTTCGGACAAAGGGTACATTTTCATTGGGAGGTGGATAGCTAATCGGTTGATACGAAACGCTAGCAATGGAGTAGTTTTCGTGCTTGTCAGTTTCTTAGTTTTTTTTTTTTCTAGATTAATGTTTTTATTAGATAATTGTTGGTCGCATCCTCGAAGGAAATACTGCAATGATAAAATGTGATGCTTTCAATTGATTGCCAACCTACGTAGAAGTACAGTGGAATGAGTCAAGTGTCGTACTTTGCTAGAGGATTGTTACCAAAAGATGGCTCATACTAAAATTAACAGTTTAAACGTTTAAGGATTGGACAGGAGGCCAAATTTCTGCTTCAAAGTTTCAACTTCACATTGTGGTTTACAAATATCATGG